TTTTTTATCCGAGCCAACCAGCAATTGCAGCTGCTGCCAATGGCTTCCACCACTTGGGCTGCTCTCCTTTTATCTGCTTTCCTCTTTTCTTCCCCATTTAGTGCCAATGCACAATCACCTGCAGCTTCCCCCTCTTCCACCCCGGCTGCAGCCCCTCCCCGCACCACCCCTCCACCAGTTACACCTGCAGCCACTCCTCCTCCCAGCACCCCTCCGCCGGTTACACCTGCAGCCACTCCTACCTCACCCCCGACTCCAAGAGTTGCACCTGTGATCAGCCCGGCAACTCCTCCTCCCCAGCAGCCGCCGCCACTGAGCCCTCCTGTTTCAGCTCCATCCCAGCCACCGTTACCTCCTGTATCACCCCCTCCGGCTCCATCCTCGCCTCCTCCGGCTCAAGCGCCTGCACCCATAAGCCTGCCACCGGCTGCAGTGCCAGCTCCGGTTCCTGCCAAGCATAAGAAGAGAAAGCATAAACACAAAGGGCATCATCATGCCCCAGCTCCCGCACCAACTCCTCCCAGCCCTCCATCCCCTCCGGTCCTAACAGATACCCAGGACACAGCTCCAGCTCCAGTTCCATCTCAGGATCAGGTCTGGTTTCTTACATAAACTGTATAGTTTGAAACTTCAAGAAAGTTTTTTTTTTTTTTAAAAAAAGGGTTAAATATCGGTTTCATGCTGTAAATGTTTGGATTAGCCATTCTCCAATTTCTTGGCTTCCAGAATGGAGGATATTCCCTGCAGCAGCTTGGAGGAAGGCTAGGAATGTGGCTGAATACGGGAATTGGACTTATCATTCTTCTGGCGATGACGGGCTAAGATCTCAAGCTCTATAGATATCGCTCGCGTGTATGCATTTCAAAGATCATTACATTTTCCTCCATACATATACCCGTTATACCGATTCAAATAATACCATTTTTTGAATTCCTTTAAAACCACTTCACATGGTGTTTCAGACAGGAGAGATCATGTCATGTCATGCTTACCAAAAAAAATCAGAAGAAGAACAAAACATGATGCTAAACTATATCATTCACCATAGGTAATCCTCTACACCGTCAAAGAAAAACCATTGGTTTTGAGCAATCACTATCAATCAAAACACAACCATTCATTCCCAAGCAATGGCAATTTGCCCGAAAAGGATGAAGATTTAGCATCTCTTTCCACTGTCAAGCAAGAATGTGGGATAATATAAGCTTGATCAATGGATTGAATACCTGGACAAAGACAAGTCCACATGGATCACAGGTAAAAATTGGGCAAGCAAAGCTTCTTCTTGGTAGTTTGATGTCAGTGTAAGCAATTTGCCATCGAAGACCAACAACAATAGACATAATCCACAGGTTTCCGACAAATCTCACCAGAAAGCGTGAAATTTAAACAGCAACTTGACCCGGAATCAGCAACAGCTCAATTCCTTTTGCATGATTGTTGTTGCTGACACACGAGAGCAGTTCTCAGGCTGAAGAAGAAGCAGAGGAAACAAGAGATCAGTCTTGCAAAAATTTCGGAGCAAATGGAAAATTGAGATGAACCCTAGAAATATAATCGCAGACAAACAATACCCAAGAGAGATTTGCTCATACGGAACCTGGGTAGTTCCGAGATAGGGTTTTACCTCGGAGCGTGAAAAAGCGGTTCGTACAACTGAGCAGAGTACCGGAAATCAACCGGTTTATTACAGTGCTTCGCCGGAGAAGAATGAAACCAACGTCCGCCGTCGCCGTCGCCGCCATTTTTGGCGTCACTGTCACAAATGGAGCTTAACCCTCGGCTAAATCAAACAAACGGTGGAGCAGAAGAATGTCAACCGTTGATTTCATCTATGAAATCTCTCAGCGTCTCTGATCGAGCCACGTCACACTAGTCCAAATCTCCCCTCTTTTTTTCGCGGTGAACAAAATCTCTCAACTTTGCCACGAAAGTTTCAAACTTTGGTATTTGTATGCGCTGATTGGTTGATATCTTTGTGGTGGGAGTGCTTGGATTGGGATCATCCCTTTTATTTATCTGTTTTATCCAATAATCGGGGAAGAACACAGAGAGAGAGGGTAGAATTGTTGTTACATCAATTTCTTCAGACAAGACCAGCAATAATCTAAGATTCTTGATCAGAAAATATGGTCGATCAAGAATAAACCAATCTTGTTTTCCCCCCCTTTTGTTGCCGCTGTTGTTATCGTTTGCTGTCGGATTCTGATAAGCTAACAATGATTTCGATCAGTCTTCTTCATCAACTTCTCTGAAAGGAAGGGGCACTGTCTTCACAGCTCTGAACTTCCCTGCATTATTTAGATGCTCATTCTCCAACCTGCAATTTTTTTTTTTTTAATCTCAAGAATCAGTTCTCTGAATAAAGTTTTCGACTTTTTTTTGGTCTGAATCTCGAAATCTTTTTTACCTGTAGAAGTTCCATAATCCTCTCCTGATAACCTCAAGAGCAGCCAAGAACAGCCCTGTCACTCTGTGATCCACATGCTCAAAGTTGGAGTGAAGAACCGTCTGTAGCCACGCCAGTCTCAGGACCAGGTTCAGAACCTGCAGAGATCGGAAACGAAAATCTCGGGTTTTTTCATATCATGTCGTAAACTTTGGTAGCAAAGCTAAGATCAGATTCTTTCGGACATCAAGAACAGTTCCTGGAAATTTGCTCTATTTTCTGGTGTTTCTGGTTGGTGATTCGAATATTTTTTTCAACAGTAAGTTGGATTTACCATAGAGAAGTAGTAAATGAACTTTCGACGGATCATGAGCTCGTTCCTTAGCCAGGGGTTCTTGCTGTTAACCTGGAGCAAACCCCAGTCTTTTACAAAGTCCCAATACAACTGGTACACTGTTGCGGCACTTGACACAACCACCACTAGACAGAGCCAACCGGCATTTCTCTCCTTCTCGTAAGCCACTTTTGCCCCCGCGGCTAACATGGCCGACACGTATTTCCCCAGGTTTACCAGATGGCTCTTCTCCCCTTCGTCAAACCACCTCCTGGCACACTGCAGAGGAAAAAGGGTTTCATAAAGTTTAGACCTTTCTTGGGAAACAAGTAAGGGTTACTTGGGGAAGAAGGAAAGGATGGTACCAGGGTTTTTTATTTACCTGCATCGCTCTCCAGTAATATGGGAGGAAGGAAACTGCATATGCAAGATCTTTGTAGTATTTGGTTCTCATGCAGTAACCATAGTCCTGCGTTTTGTAGCTACCGGTTATGTAGTAGCAGGCGATGTATTCCAGGTTTCTTAGCATCGGTACCTTTGAAATAAATCGTTTGTAAAAAGATCAGATTTTGATCATTGATTCACAGTAAAAAAAATCGGGTTTTGACGGCAATTTTACGGTGAAAACTGGAATACCTGGCTGCAGAGTTGATCAGCCATGAAGAAATCGAGCATCACAACCTTGTACAGAGGTGACAGAACGATGTTTCTGATGACAGAAATAAACCGATACCGGCTTGGTTTGTAGAAAACGTTTAAAGGGCAGACTAGGAGTATCGAGAAGACCTGCAGAAACCGAAAAAGTTAAGAGCTTTAGGCCGAGAAGAAGAGAAACGACGAGTTTTTCTGAAAGACGAGGCTGTTCGTACCAGTAACAGAAGGCCTGGGATAACTTGAACTTGTCTGAAGGAGTACCCTTTTGTCAGAAGCGACAGATGAACAAACATAACACCGAGAACAGCGGTCATCGAGACAGAACAGATCAAGAAAACGTCTCTGTACTTGAGATCTTTCCCGGGACAAAGTTCGAATATGAAACTGTAATTAATCCGGGCTTTTCTCCACATGAAGATGTTGCATCCATATAGAAATAGGTGCAGAAACAAGAGACCGAACATACTGCAGAAACAATCGCGACGGTGGAGATTAGATTGTTCAGATCTCTATAGCATAAACCTTAAATCTCAAAGTCTAGTTCAGATATTACTTGCCTAAGTACAGGATATGCAGTTTCCATGTAGAATGTACTGTCAGAGTTTTGTCTGTACATCCCAGCCAGATGAGCTGTGACTATGTACCCAGCAAGAAGGGCAGTGAAGCATCCGGTGAAAAGACCTGATGATATCAAAATACGAAGAATTTCATCGTTAAATCCTTAATCTTTGGTTAATTTAAATCAGACCCATTTGATCTAAGATGATCATTTTGCAGATGGAAAGAGCAAAAAACGATGTAAAGATTCTCCTGAGACAATGATAGTGTTATTGCAACAGAGAGCATAAGACACCTGATGCTTTAGTTGTCCACCAACCAAAAAAAGAAAAGGTTACATTTTGGAATCCTAGTGTGTATGTCTGTGCCTGGTTAATGGGGTCCAAAGGGATTTTTTCTTTTGGGTCCTCTGAAAAAAGAAAGTTCCAGGATGAATTCAACTGAAAAAAGGGTAATCGACGATCATATCATACCGATGAAGAATGTAACGCCGTGGGATTCTTTACGCTGGTGCGGTTTCAGATATGTCATCACCTTCTTTCTGTGATCTCCATTTGCAAAGTGCTTGATGAACAATTCTTCAACTTCTTCTGATAGGTTTATCACCTGTCTTTTCCAAGACCAATCAGCAAACAACAATGGCAGAAACAAACAGTGTTCTCGTTGGTTATGTGCTGTTTTTTTTTTCCTCTCACCTTGTCTGAACAGTTGAAGTATGAACTCTCCACCACTCTGAGATAAATCGAAAGAATTTGTTTCCCCGTTATCTGAAATTTTTGAAAAGGTCGTGTTTATTACACGTTTTGAGATGAAACCTTATTGAAACTGTTGCTGAATCTGTTCTGAAATCGACTTTTACCTTATCGAACTTTTTCAGGATCTTCATGAAGGCTAGCATGTTCAAGTTTCGGTAGGTTTTGAGATAGTTTAGCCCTTTGTGAAGTTCCATCAGGGCTCTTTTTATCATCTTCTCTGCCTGATGCAAGTTCTTCTTGTTGACATGCAGCTTATTTCCGTCTATACCGCATTTCTTCCACGATTGGTTAACCAGATCTTCCCTTACCAAGTAACTGATGGCCGAGAAGGCGAGAGAAGGGTTCGTCATTGGAATCTTTATCTTGAAGTTCTTGCCCTGGCAGCTGAATCCCCGACCAGACATCCTCCTTGGTTGTTCATCATCGTTTTTCGATCTTAACTGTTTTCCCGTCTCGTCTAATCGTGGGGACTCCAGTTCTTGCGACCCACTGATCTCCAAGTCCTCCGAGACTGTTTCCTGGAGTTGCTCTTGTTCTGTTCTGCTCCTTACAGAGTCCTCCTCTACAAAACAAGGACAAAGAAAGATTAGTTAAACCAGTTTCAGGGTTCTCTCTCTCTCTCTCCATGCAATGAATCTGATAGATTTCTATATTGACTACTAGAGACAAGATCAACCCAATTTCAAGCTGTGTTTACCGCAAGAGATGGTGCATGATATGGATTCATCTTCTTTGGATTCTTGAGAAGACTCTGCTTTGGCTTTCTGCTGTTTCAGAACATCTTTCACTGTCATGAGCACTTCCAACTGAATCTTCAGACACTCTCCTCTCTCCAAGAACTCTTTCTCTTTCGTCTTGTAGAACTGATTCACTTTGTTCAGTTGTCCATCCAAACGCGCGAAGAACTCCTTCGCCGCAGCATCTGTGCTGTCGGAAAAGTTCTCCAGAAGTTCTGTCTCGTACACGAAGCCCTTACTTGCAGAAGAAGCAATCTTCCTGTGAACCTGCAATACCACCAGATTCAGCGCCATTAATGGAGGAAAAACTTGTGACAGAGGGTCATAAACCATAGGGTCAAGGTTCGTACTTCGATGGCCCCGTGGCTTTCTCCGCGTTTTTTCCCGAAAAGGGCAAGCTTTTCCACAGAAGATCTGACGGTTTTCACCAGAGAAGTCTCGGTAGCCTTCCCGGTTTTCTCATTGACGGCATTACGGGCGTTGAACAGATGGATCCTCTTGATGTCCTTTTTCAGCTGAGAGTAATCCACAAAGGCATCTTTCCACTCCGGCACGAGCTGGTCTTGAAACTGCTTAGTGAAGTTCACCATGGCTTCAAGCACCTTGTCTGAAACCGAAGAATGGCTGCAAAAAAAGGACAGAGGAGGAGGGAAGAGGAAGGGTGTGTCTGAGAGTGAAGGAGAGGAGGGTATTTATGGGCGGCGAGAGAGAATATATTACAGATTTTACTTGTACTGATGCTTCAGCAAGCACATTCTGAAATATCCTCTTCTTCCACTTGGGAGCAAAAATGCAATCCCTCTCCGAATTTCTTTTATAAAAAAAAAGGACCTGAAAAAGAAAAAAAAAAGATCTTGTCTCGTGTGGGACCCGATTCTCGCCGGAAAATATTCTCCGGCGGCTAACCGGCGTTCATTGGAACCCCAAAACGTTTTTCTGCAAGCGAAGCTTTTGAAACGAAGGCTTAGGATTCAAGGCAACTATATAAAACTGGAGGAGCTTTAAAATTACCTTTCTACCCTTGTGTTGTGGCTGACTGTGGAGAGCGTCATGGGTAATTTGGGTATTAAGCACGTGTCAATGATTTTGTATTATTTTATGAAATAAAATTTGAATGGATTTTGTGGTCTAAATTAGAGATCACAAAGATGAATTCCGATTAGACCAGCTCCGTTTCCACTAAGTTTTTGGGGATAACGAGGAAATAAAATGGATCATTTTCATCATTCTTATAAGAATAAATTGGTCCATTAATTTCTAACAATATCTGTTTTTTTATTTATTATCTAGTAAGATATATATATGGATGGATTAATTAATCCCTTCATTTGAGCTAAACATCTACTAAATTACTAATACTCTTAATTACTATATCATTTGTACCCCGGTCATTATATGAAATCAACTAAAAAACTTTAGTAGTTTCCATTATAACTTGTTATATTGTTTTGTTTTTTCAATTCGTTATAGATCTTTAATTTTAACCCAAAAAAAAGGTTTTGTATTTGTGGTTTTAAAAGTAAACTGTAAAATCCCATAAATAAATTAAAAAAAATGAAGCTTTCTAAATCCTGCTTTTAATCTCCAATGGGAACTACCATCTATAATTAATAATCATGTTAAAATTATTCAATAGAAATGTTTTGTCATAAAAAACAATGGAAAAAAGGTATGGATGCTTGTATGGTTTTTTTTTTTTAAATGCAAAAGTGAATCAAGTAAAGTGAAGTCTTTTCTCCTTTTTCAATTATCAGAATTCATTCTATAAAAATTAACTGTGTTAATAATTCATGTATCTGAATTTTGGAAATTATATATATCCACTATAGTAAAGGATGCAATATATCAAAACTCATACAAGTTTGAATTGAAACGTAAAATATACATTGTTATATAATATAATTTTTCTCACACAAAAAAGAAAACAACTTATTACTAAAAAAAATAATCTAAAACCTTTCTCATATAAAATCGAACAATTATAATATATAATGAATTTTACAACAAAATAATTAAGTGGTAAGATCACACTGAATTAAGGTGATCACAACAACTACTATAAAGAAAATTTATATTTGCATATAAACAAAAAGAGTTGCAACGTTTTTTTTTCAATTTTAGAAAAGAGAAACGTTTTTTATGGGCTTAGTTTATACTCAATAATGACATAAAAAATTTGTGACGATAAGAATCTTGTGAAACGTTTTGTTATGTACGTTTTTTATAATTTAAATATATATATATATATATATTTAAATTAGGAATTTTAAGAGGACAGGATGCTAATGTGCTAATGAGCTTTATGCACGCGGTTTCTCTAAGTATGTTCGTCCAACTATTCGAATGGATGATATTGATCAAAGTGGATCTCTATATACATATTTATATATAATTCGTATTCCCTTCATAATTGTAATAATGAATATAGTTCGGATAAAACAATAATGTATACAAAAAAAAAAAAAGATAACTCGAAATATTTCCACGGGTAACTTTTATAGCTTGATAAAAAGCTAGTGCTGCCACTTGCCACTTGCTAATTAATGTTATAACGTTTTCTGTATTTTACGAATACTATTTAAAAATTACAATAACAATGATTAAGTTAAAAAAGTTTCCAAGGTCATGGTATCTTCTAGGATTCAGATGTATAATAACAAATAATATATTTCAGCTTGAATTTAAATTTATTGTACATCTAGTCACCTCTCTCTATATATATAGTTTTCGTTCGTCCAATTTTTTTTTTGACAATTCAAAAATTCAAAGGATTTTTAATGCAACTATATCTCGAAGAAGACCGAAGAAATCCATATGAATACTCTAACTCAAGTAAAAACTCAAATCTAGATTGGAAAAAAAATTTGTTTCGTTCTTTATCAGTTGAACCACATTACTGATTATCGATTTTGAAATTAGTCTAGACCTTAATTCATGATATCTGATTATAAAAAAAAAAAAACCTTTGCTAAAGAGTCATTTGAACGAGTCATTGCATGCGTTTGTTTTTTTTGTTTTTTTATAACCAAGATGGTTCCCCGGACCTTCGACCCGACTACATCCACCCTAAGCCCGGGATGCATGCGTTTGTATTGATAATATACACGTAAAAGGATCGATTTTCACAACAATTTTAATTATTAAGGTCCCTCTCCACGTTGTCTCTCTTGTAAAATAAATCTTGTTATTTTAGTTTTCAAGTTTCTTTCACCTTTTAAAGTCGATACTAGAAAGGTGAAGAAAACGAAATAGAATATATAACTATGGCTTTCCAATTCCAGAAAGTCTGCAGGCGTACATATAAGAATTCATATTTTATATATATACGTATATTTCATGGGGCATTACAGGTATTTGGCCGTCACAATTCCACAAAAATAGTATGGAAATTATTAAAATTGATAACAATATTGTAATGTTAGTTACACGATCGTGAAAGTAGAAGAAAAGAACCCGACAAAAGAATACATAGGTTACATTAATTATTGGATGATTATAAAAACGAAATGAAATAAAAATGAGAGATGATATTGGTCTGAATCGGACAGCATATGCACGTGTCTATGCGCCCATAATATAAACCGGGCCATCCATATTTATGTGTTTTCTTTTCAAAAATATTTTGTCTTTTTTGTTTTTTGTTTTTTCCCCTTAGTTTTCCAACGGATATATTACTATATTATATACAGTGCTCCTTAAGGAAATTAGTTGCAAAGTCTCAATATTGATTAGTGCAAATTCGATCGCAATTAATCGGTATTCTTTATTGACGGACCAAAACCAAAGTATTTAAATTTGGGCAGATCTTTAGCTTAGCTACTAAGAATTTATTTTGTCTGCAAATTAATAGTGGATGAATCATCCAAAAAATTTTGTTGTTTTGTGTACCAAAAATGCTGCTCCATTTGCTTTGTGTCTATAGCTAATTCAAATTAATATACAAACACTTTTTTTTTAATAATAGACCAAATAATATACTTCCATATTAAATTATAATTTTTTTAACTGTTTTGATACATGGAAATTATGGAATTACCCCTTTTATTTTACAATTTTTTTTTTAAAAAAATCAATAGAATATCCTCTTTTTTTTTCAAAAAAAAAACTAGATTTAGGAGATCAAAACTAAAACTATATATATTTTGCGACTCTATTAAACAAAATGACTCACGAATCTACCTTTTTAAGAGCGTTGTTGCCCTCTCTAAAAATAATTTACTCGGTAGAATCGTACTTTGGAATTTTTTTGTTAAAACTGTATATATATGTATATAACATATATAGTGGAATATTAGCTGTAATATGTAAGACCAAAGTAGAAACAAAAAGGATGGGATTTTCGGCGTGTGTGTGTGTATATATATATATATATATTGTGGAAATATTAATTTCACATTTTACAGCAAAGTTGGTCCACTCTTTTTCCTCCGTGTCATTGATAACATTATCGCATGGTAGATCCGATGTTGCGAGTATAAAATCTTTCTGACCCCACAGACATATGAATGCCTCAACTTCTATATTTATAATCATTACAACTGCAACAAATTAAGATAAATTTCAAACTTATATATATATATATATATATATATATGTATCATAGAGTAATTCAAAGAAGCCGAGTCATACATAACATAAAACTTAATAGATTTCAAAAATCAATATTATTATAACGTTGTAAACGATTTATATCGGTAAAAAAAATTTACAATGGTATCGATTTTTTTTTAAATCTCATGTTAATTATACGAGTTGTTCAATCCCAACCATAATAAACCCATATCTATGTTTAACAAAAAAAATAAAAACAAACCATATCTACGTTACGAGATTGCATGGGAAATTTTCATATAAAAAAAAAGATTGCATGGGAAATCAAGAATTATATAAGTTACGTAACAAAACCCTCAACAATATAATGAGGGAACACACACGTAAAATTGAATTTGTAAGAATAAGATACGAGTCTTGAATAGTGTATGCTCTCTTGCATAGGCATATACATATACATACATATATATATATATATATATATATATATATACACACGAGTATATTGTTGCATTGTCTAATCTTTCAACAATGTCTCGACTTTAGAATAGGCAGGGGAATATGCCTCAGGCCCTTTACACATATGCTTTTGTTCCCTTTAAGTCAAAAGTGAAATCGAGAGGAATGATATATATATATATATATATATATATATATATATTGATGATCGATATGAGCTTATCTAATTAATGGTAATTGGTAATCCAATTCATAAAATTCGATTATTAGTTACATAGTTTGTTCTATTAATTATGTTATGATATAACATATAGTATTTGTATTCATGAATATATTATTTTTTCTGAAACTCTTTAACGTGTGTCTACTCATACGTGTAGGTAAATACGTATCGTTATATCGAATTGAATTTTTGGTGATTATTGGGTTTTATAGCGCTGCATAAAGTGCGAATTACGCTAGTCATCTCTCAAATTTTGGATGTAACAAAATAAATATTAAGTCCTACAATATCATATAAATATGAAAATATTACGAATAGTTTTTGTATTTTTTAAAACTTATACCCTTAATTATTGAAAACAAAAAGAATTTTCCCCATTGAAAGCCATTTACGTGAATTCCAATTGTAGTCTATGTACGGCGCCTATATATATATGATATCTATAACATGTATGTATTTTCGTATGTTTTGAGATTATATATTAGGTTTTTTTATTATCCATTTATCAAGAAACTTTAATTTATTTTGCAGAATTTCTTAAAGTTTCAAGTTCGGACATATTTCCTCCTAAGCAAGGGCATATACTTGTACTAAATACTATTTAGGTCTAAAGAATATATTCTTAAGCCATATTTTACTAAAACTTTTGGCCACGTGCATGAATATTTAGACTCACAAACATATACTATATGAAAATAGCTACACATTTAGTGACAGAAATGGCCATGCATTGATTAATTAATTTTATTTATTTATTTATTGATATATAGTTTAATTCTTATTCAGATTTATATATATATATATATATATATATTTGCCTAACGCATAGAAGTTTCTACACAATATATATATACCGCCTTAGTATATGTCGAAGTATATGCCTTTTTTAATATTATTAGCGAATTTTATATATATATTACAATATTCTTAAATGTATAATAAGTTTTATTATATAAGTGCATTATCAAGAAAATAAAAATAAAATTTATTATATGAGGTGGTGGATTTGCGAAATCTCTCGCTTGTGCGAGGATTCGGATTCTTATAGAAGCCGATGTGTTAGGAATCAAGATTATTCTTCGAATTGTCATGAAGAGAATATATATATATATATAAATGTTTTATAATCTCCTACATGAGAAAATGAAAAAAAAAAAGTTTTTTTTGGAGGTTTCTTGTGATTGTGACGTGTTTCTAACTGAATTAATTCCATGTGTTAGGACCATCTTTTACGAAAATATTCATATATTCCATACATATATAGTGTATATCGCTCCATATTTCCATCCACACATACAATATTATCGCGTATATATAATAGATAATTATTAAGTTATTAATTTGTTTAAATCATGTAATCGATAAATAACATACGATTATCTTATTACGTCGTATGTTTGGTGAGTATTCGTTACATTAAGATATTAAACTCGTACTAAAGTATTGACAAACATCGTCTAGTACGTACCATGCCAAAATATTACATGAAAATGTGATATATATATATATGTGTGTGTGTGTGTATAGCAGCCTCGGAATATTAGTGATGTCATCAAAGGCATTTGAATCTTAATATATACTTAGAGGGGAAAATAAAAAAGAAAGAATAAAAATATGAAATTGGTAATTTATCAATCTATGCATGAATCGAATTGTAGTGTTTGTGAAGTGTCACGAATCAGAATATTATCCTATTTTTCATTTAGTACATTAATAGAATTAGAGAAACTATATATGTGAAGATTATGCCTTATCTTTTTGGCATTATGCCGAGGATAATTCTATTAGAAGAACTATATAGTACTTTATCCTTTGTCATTATCTCTTTTATTACACAATTACTCATATATATATATATATAATACACATATACATACATATATATATATATACACACGATATTGACGTCCGCACGTACACATGCATAAACCGTGTACGCATGGAAATTAAACATTTTCAATAAATTGGAGATATCATTCCGTCTTCCTTTCCTTTTTATGAAATGTGAATTGTATAATAATTACAACAATTACCATTACTAATTAATAACATTATTAAATATAAAAATAATTTGCTATAAAAATTTAAAATGCTTTATACTTATCTATTTTATAGAGATATTTAATAAATATTTTGTATATATTGAGATTTAAAATATTAATATTTTGAAAATTAAAATTTATTATGTTTAATTTTTGAATTTTGAACTTTCAATATATTTATATGTGATAAACTATGATTGTATTTGTATTTGAATTGATTTAAAATATTTAAATTATGAATTTTAAATTGTGAATAATATTTATATTAAATAACTTATATATTTTCTTTATATTTAAACTTTTTATTTAAATTTAAATTTAATTTTTATAATTTTTAATGTCGGATACGGATATTCGCACATATCCGCGATATTTACGGATATCCGAAATTTCGGATATCCGTAAATTACGAATCGGATACGAATAATAAAATCGAATATTTGAGCGGATCGGATACGTATACGGATATCCCAAAAATCACGGATATCCGATCCGTGCCCACCCCTAACCATTAGGGCTAGACCTTTCGATAGTAGGTTCGGACGCGTTCTATAAATATACGTACCAATCGGTTTATTATATCATATTTGGTTCGATTTGGTTTCGAATTTTTTAAAATTCGATTCGATTTAGTTCGGTTCCAAAAAAATCGGTTTTCTAAAAAAATATCGCTTGGAAATTTTAGACTAGTCAATTCAGTAACGATATCGAGTTTTTTAGATTTGGTACGGTCCAATCCCGAAGGACCGTACCGAAACGCCAACCACTAATAAACATAATAATAAATATTGATCATTTACAAAAAGAAACAAGAAATGTTATGTGATAAGAGGAGGTAGTGATTGCACCAAAAAAAAAGGTGCATAAAGGTTATTTTATGTAATTTATTAAAGGAACTCGATCAATCTAATCATTTCAAGCAATAATAAGAACACATCAAAGTATGTGTTACTGTACACGTGTACATGTACATCCCCATGCCCTCATCATCATCATCATCATCATCATCATCATCATCATCTCTTTCCTTTAAAAAAAATATATTCAAACTCTTTTTACACCTTTTTTTTCTTTAATTTTGTAGCTTTTTGGTTTTGTAAATAAATGATTAGGAATTGCAACTTGGCAGTTGTTTCTCCAAGTTTGAGAGATGAGATAGAAGAGTTTGCCCAATGGGAATCATTGTAGCAATTATCTTATTTTATTTTTTGGATTATCAAATTATATAATACTCACATAAGTCATGGTGATTATATATGTTTAGAGCTTATCTCCTTAATTAGGTCGACCACTACTAAATAATTACATCAATAACTTTAAAACCACTACTGTATTTTGTTGTTATTTGCAATGTGCCTATATAGATATTAAAAAATTTCAAATCCAACATTCATATATATATATATATGTGTGTGTGTGTGTGTGTGTGTGTTATTACATAACAAAAACCTAAAAAAAGTAAAAAAAAAAAAAACTTGTTTTGTGAAGACTAAAAGTAACTTTTAAAAACAAAGTTTGACCGAACAACTTTAAAGCGCAACTTTTTTATTCGGGTTAGATATTAAAGCCATTTTACAACCTTATGGTAACCCACATTTTCCCTAAAGAACGATCACGAATTAAAGCATCTATAATATCATATCATTAATTAACATATTATATATATATATATATATATACACACACATTTCAATATATAATATATATTGGAAATTGTGAATTGATAAGAAAGTAAGCTCACCTACATTCATAAATCAAACGAAAAAAGATTAAGATTTTGTTTTTTTTTTGTTTTCAATAACGTGATTGATTAAGTAATGGAATTTGTAAATTCTTTTGTCTTTTCTTTTTCTTTGGTTGGGTTTAGGGGCCGCGAGCCCATAACTATTTATGAGCCTCAATGCCCCATTTTGAACCCAATAAGTATCCATTTCTCACCTAATTTGATATTTACATTAATCTTAAGCGTTTGCTTGGTAATATATTATTGTAAAAAGGGGAAATCAGATTTATTCTTGCGCTAAATATATTTTTTTTAATAAATTAATAAAAAAATATAAAAACTAATATAATTTTTATACTCATATATATACATATATTATGTAACAGTTTTTGAAAATTATTTGGTACTCTAAATTTCTTCTTTATTTCTTTGGTCGACTCCGGTGTTCTCTTTTGTGGAAAAGTATTTTGGATCATATACATATACATATACATATACGTATACATATATATGTTGAAATATCACGTTTTTTTTTCACAAAAGCCTTTTTTTTTTCACAATCGTCTAATATTGTGTTCCGTCTAATATTACAATAATCCAAGCATTTAACGAATCATATGAACTCTGAATTCTTTGAAAATATTTTTACGTCTTGTAAAACTTTTTGCAGGAAACCTGATAATAAGAACACAACACTTGTCAGATCCCATCTGGTTTCGTCCCCTTCAATTCCCTTTGTCTTCTTCCTCTGCATATCGAGATTTTCCCTTCTTTTGATTAATGGGTTTTCTTAGATTTTCGTGCGGCGTGGAGTAATCTGATACGTTTCTACGATCATTTCCATCGGTTTCCGAGAAAGTCTCCATCTTTCCCGCGAACGGTTCGTCGAATTTAGCAAACGGAATCGATTGAAGACCAGAAACAGGTCAAGGACGAGAAAGAATGCCGTCTCAGATTCTGCCCATTTCAGCCCTTCCGCCCAAATCGTCGCTCGCGACAGAAATGTTCTTCAAACCTCAGGTTTACGATGACCCATCGACGAGTCTCCTCGTCTCTTCTCGATTCGATGACGGCCACTCGATTTCCTCCGTCAAGCCCCTGCTTTCCCGCGCCGCAAGCTTCACCGCCTCCACCACGACGGCGCCCTCCACCACTGGCTGCGGCGGATTCGCCGGTTGGTATCAGAAGACACGGCGGCGAACCAACAGCGATAACTGCTTGTCTGCGCTTCCCAATGACGCTAATGCCGCCGTCGACGGCGGAGATGATCACCGGCAATCTCTGGGCGAGGAGGTAGAACACGCCGCCGCCGAAACGTTCCTTTTGACTCGCCTGAGCTTGAAGCTCTTGAGATATCTAGGGTACCTGCTTCTATCCTGTTTTTTATCCGTTTGTCCGAGAATTGCAGTCTTAGGACAATGAATCTTAGCTTCTTATGTTCTTACATTACCAATTTGGTGTAATGTGGGAATCACTGATCAATCATTGTTGTTATCCAGGGTAGGTTACAGATGGATCACAAGATTTCTGGCTCTTGGTTGCTATGCAATTCTTCTGATGCCTGGCTTTATTCAGGGTTTGCAATTGTTTTCATTCTGTTGATGATCATGATTATACCTTGTTCTGGTCTTGTGTTGATAATCTGGATTTATATCTTGTTCTGGTCTTTGCAGTCGGATATTACTATTTCTTCTCTCGTCAGATCCGTAGGAGTATAGTTTATGGTGATCTACCGAGAAATAGGTCAATGTCACTTCTTGGTTATCCAATCTTTCCATGGTTTGATTCCCCGAGATATCGATAGGTATTTATAGGTTATATTTTCTTGAATTTGAGCTGTTTTGTTGTGTCCAGGCTTGATCTGTATCTTCCTAAAAACTCGGATGGTCCAAAGCCCGTTGTGGCATTCGTGACTGGTGGAGCCTGGATTATCGGGTGAGTGTCATATGCAATAGACACCATCTTTTTCGAAACTAAGTTTGGTTTCTGTATCATTGTTAAGGAATCTAAAATGATTCAGTGTTTTGTTTTTTTGGTGTGTCTTCCATTGATGCAGGTATAAGGCATGGGGTTCTCTTTTAGGACAGCAGTTATCAGAAAGAGGCATTATAGTCGCATGCATAGATTACAGGTAATTATGGTCAAGCTCAGCTCAAGATCTTGTCCTGGCTAGAGCTTCTCTGATCACGTTTACATCAATCTTTCTATGAATATTCATACGCAGGAATTTCCCTCAGGGAACTATAAGTGACATGATACAGGATTCTTCTCGGGGCATCTCATTTGTCTGCAATCACATTGCTGAGTACGGAGGTGATCCTAACCGGTATTAACTCGTAAAATCCTTAAAAGGCATTTCATTGGTGTTGAAATTTTGGGGTTTTGGGTGAGATTATCAGTAATTTATTCCCGTTATGTGTTTTTGTAGAATTTATCTTATGGGACAGTCTGCTGGTGCACATATCGCGGCTTGCACCCTTGTAGAGCAAGCAATCAAAGAATCGGGAGAGGGAGATACCGTGTCCTGGAGCGTTGGACAGATAAACGGTTATTTTGGTTTGTCTGGAGGGTAAGCTTCAGCTGCACTCGATAATCCGCGCTCTTTGAATCTGTGTCACTGTGTTTTAGGACAGTGACAAGACAACAGAACTAACAGCTGTCTCGAAAAATACATCTAACTCGTGTTTTTCAGCTCTTCTGGTTGTAAAACCAGCTTGGGTACTGATGCATTTTTTGAGAATTTTTGTGGTCGTGATGTATAGGTACAACCTTTTAAACCTGGTAGAGCACTTCCATGGCCGGGGACTGTATCGTTCCATCTTCACGAGGTATATAACGAATCCACTTGTAGATTCTTCATCTGGGCTTCACTAAGAACTTATAAACCGAGCTTTAAACGGCCTTCAAAACTTTGTCGGGTTGTGATCTTCTTGCAGCATTATGGAAGGAGACGAAGCTTTGAGACGGTTTTCTCCTGAACTGATAGTACAAGACCCGAACATCAGACATGCTGTTTCCCGTCTTCCGCCTGTAGTTCTTTTCCATGGTACCGCCGATTACTCCATCCCCTCGGATGCAAGGTCTGTTTTTCACCTAACCTCCATAGCTTTTATCTCTAAAGTCTCAGCCTTTAGTGTTCCGGAGTGTTCATATGATGGATCTCCATAGCTGTTCATCTCTAAAGTCTCTGTCTTTTCATGTTTCAGAGTGTTCATATGATGGATTGAGCTTTTTCTCATACGCTGTTTCTGCAGTAAAAGTTTTGCAGAAATCCTCCAGAGGCTTGGAGTTAAAGCAGAAGCGATCCTTTACGACGGTAAAACGCACACAGATCTGTTTCTTCAGGTACAATAAAACCAACAGAACCTCTCAGTTTCGAAAACCCGGTTCTTGGTTTTCGCCGATTACTGTCCCGAGAATTAAGAAACCTGATGGTAGGAGCTTACGCTGTAGGATCCAATGAGGGGAGGGAGAGATGAAATGTTCGAAGACATAGTGTCGGTAGTTCTGGGAGACGACGAGGAAGCTCTTGCTAAAAGCGCGGCCCTGCCGCCGAGGAGGAGGCTTGTGCCTGAATTCATGTTGAAGCTGGCTCGATCCGTCAGCCCTTTCTGACAGATTCATTCTGCAGTTTTCTTCCTCCAAAACGATACAGGTGATTGATCCAGTTGTACAGATTATAAAAAGGGTCGGCGGTCATCAGACAGGAACAGAACAGAGAGTGTAGTTCATGGTAATGGAGATGATGACAGATTTTTTACTTGGCAAAAAAATACTGCCGTGGTGGAATGGAGATTCAGTTTTTCTTTACGTGAAACAGTGAAAAGAAGGTTAAGTTACTCAAGAAGAGCATCGTCTCCATGGATTTGAATGAATTATCAATAAACTACAAAAAAAAAAGTATTCTCAGATTAAAGCCCGAAGTTACTCAGGAAAGCATCGTCGCCATTGTCATCGCCAAAACACAGAGAGAGAATACGACACCGTTTAGTCAAACACGTGTTGTGGGCCCTCTTGTGGGCCCATACGAGGTGGATGACGACGAAGGTCTATTTAGTAACGTGAAAGTGTTAGGCTTTGAATTGAAACTCCGAGTCCGAGGTAGTCGGAGTTTGGAAGTTTGTTAAGATCGTGAAGAGATCAGAATCTTATCATAAGATTGGGCAATTGGGTTGTTGAGATTTCGATAAAGCTTTCAAAAAGATACGGTTTGTGTACAATTTTTTTTTTCCTGGGAGAGTTTGCGTTTTCACAAAGAGAAGAAAGTGTTCATAAGGTGTTCGACAGTTTGCCTGAAAGAGGGGGTAAGCAGGCTTATTAGTTCTGTTACTTGTTTGAATCATTTTGATTTCTGTGAATTTTATATTTATATCACATTGGGTTGCTTTTACAATTGGGTATCAGATCGAAGATCTTTCTTTTTTCAGGTTGGGACATAGCCTGTGGCGATGGAGCTACTGCACTTTGACTGTATGAACAGGCTGCCTGTGTTGAATGACATGAACTACGGGATTTGGAAGATAAAGATGAGGGCTTTCATTCGTGGGATCGATGTTGATGCCTGGGATTCCGTGGAAACAGGTTGGAATCCGCCGGTTTTGATCGACGAAAAGGGCAATGTTTCACTCAAACCAAGAGCAAGTTGGACTGATGAAGAGAAGAGAAGATCCAACCTTGATGCAAAAGCACTATCTGCGATCTTCGCCTCGGTGGATTTGAACAACTTCTGGCTGATTTCGGGTTGCGAATCCGCAAAGGAGGCTTGGACAACGATCGTGGACGCGTTTGAAGGAAGCGGTATCGCGAAAAGATTGAGACTTGACATGTTGGACTGTATGTTTGAGAAAGCCCGGATGGGAGAAGAGGAATGTTAGACCCCTTTTTCACGCACTCGATTTTTCTCGTTAAGGAACGGATCTCTCTCTCACCGAACCCAACTCTCGTGTGCGGAAAACTCACTCGTTCGTGGAAACAACGTGCGATCCAAAGACGCAGATTTACGGACCCGGTCCAACCTTATGTATTTCTCGTTCACACAAGGAAAGTCTCGCCTGCTCAGCACAAGTCCCGAACCAAAACGCTCTCTCATTCGCGTTTCCCTCTCGTGTCCGTTTTGCTGGCTAGGCTACGAGTAAATAAAGAGAAAGAACGTGGCAGTTGACATCCCCAACTGCCAAGGGAGTTATAACCGCTCATCCACTAACGCTAAGGGAACTGCCAACTGTCTGGAACCGCCCGTCAACCGTCCGCGAGCCCACTTCTCCGTGTCTGCGCGCCACGCCTAACGTCCAAGACTTCCCGCCAACTGTTTTCCCGCGTCCGAGCAGTCCGTCCGTGTTTTCTCGAACACGTACGTCCGTCATGCCGCATGCACTCGGCTTCTCCCACGTTCATCCGTCAACTTACTTAACTCGTTCGCCCAAACTCCAAGCCAGCCCGACTTGTCCGTCCGCACGTCCCAGCTTCGCACAGCCCAGACTCTTCCGTCTGCACGCCAGCTTCGCACGAACGTTGCCCCGGCACTCATTCCTCGCGAACATGCTGCCGGCCATGTTCGTTCATCGGATCGCGACATTTAGGGGTGTAACAGACCTCCCCCACTTGGAGAAGTTGACGCCCTCGGCAACTCAGATAGCCTTGCGCCCTTGTCCGCGGTCTCCCTCTCAACCTGCCAAAACCCTCTGGCATCCCCCCACTTTGTCTCAATCCGATCCTCTTCCGGCGGCCAGATGAATCCTCGAGATATTAGGGTCCTCGTTTGCTCAACTTCCCCCGCCATCTGATCCATCTCAAGTCGAACAGCCGAAAGGATCCTCTTTTCCCCTTCGGTTCCAACTTTCCGCCCAACTCTCTCGCATCTCACAAACATGGGACTTCTCTGGTCCGCCACCATCAGCCCATCTAAGTGAGGGATTGGGAAGGATTGGTTCCGAACCATCCACTCTTTCCCAAGGATAATCTCGAACTCGTCAAGGCTCCTCACCACCATGACGCTACACGAACTCGTCCAGCCCTCAATGGACAAGTCCAACTCAACTCTGCCCAAAACATTCTCAGGTGCCGCATTCACCGTCTTGATCTTGCTTTGGTGCTTCTCGATACTCAGCTTCAACCGACTTGCCTCTCGCTCAGTCATGAAGCAATGTGTTGCCCCGCAATCCAGCATCGGCAACACCTCTAGGCCATTAACTCGGGCCTTGATGAACATCAGCGTGTTCACACAACTCGGGGTTTTGAACTCACCCATTGCACACAACAACTGCATTGGGTTAACCCGGTACGGGACTTCCTCCTCTGACTCACTGCCCACGCTAGCAATGATTGCATTCACCTTCTCTCGGTGAGGACAATCACGAGCCAAATGAGGGCTATCGCACTTAAAGCAGCCCCTCTTCTTTTCCGCCTTTCTCTCGGACGGATTGGGCTCACTTTCCGTGACAGCCTTCTTCTTCGACCTCTTCGAAGATTCCCCCTCCGGCTTCGTACGGCCCAGAATCCAGATAACTGTCCCACAATGACTGCTGGTCCCAAGTATGACCTTTCCCCCCTTCCATAATGAATAATGATAGGTTGAAATCATTACGCTTCTAAATTATTTTATTCAGTAGAGATCCTTCTGATTGTTAAGTAAAGAAGGGCCGGTGAACAGCTCTAATTGGTACTTTCTTGTTTAATTATTTGAGCCCTCTTTGGATTTGAAAACCCGTGACGCGAGGATTAGGGAGAATTAGTAGCTTAATTTTCTTACCATATTGATGGATGGCTGTAGTCTTTGTGAGTGAAATGCTTCTTCATGTCTCCAAGCGAAATGCTTAGTTTTGCCTTGAAATGATGTAGAGTTGCTTAATTACAATCTGATTTTCCTTTAGGTGATGTTATTCGTTAGAAGGATTAGTACTCCATCTGAGTTGCCGAGGGCGTCAACTTCTCCAAGTGGGGGAGGTCTGTTACACCCCTAAATGTCGCGATCCGATGAACGAACATGGCCGGCAGCATGTTCGCGAGGAATGAGTGCCGGGGCAACGTTCGTGCGAAGCTGGCGTGCAGACGGAAGAGTCTGGGCTGTGCGAAGCTGGGTGTACGGACGGGAGAGTCTGGGCCGTACGAAGCTGGCGTGCGGACGGAAGAGTCTGGGCTGTGCGAAGCTGGGACGTGCGGATGGACAAGTCGGGCTGGCTTGGAGGTCGGGCGAACGAGTTAAGTAAGTTGACGGATGAACGTGGGAGAAGTCGAGTGCATGCGGCATGACGGACGTACGTGTTCGAGAAAACACGGACGGACTGCTCGGACGCGGGAAACAGTTGGCGGGAAGTCTTGGACGTTCGGCGTGGCGCGCAGACACGGAGAAGTGGGCTCGCGGACGGTTGACGGGCGGTTCCAGACAGTTAGCAGTTCCCTTAGCGTTAGTGGATGAGCGGTTATAACTCCCTTGGCAGTTGGGGATGTCAACTGCCACGTTCTTTCTCTTTATTTACTCGTAGCCTAGCCAGCAAAACGAACACGGGAGAAAAACGCGAATGAGAGAGCGTTTTGGTTCGTGACTTGTGCTGAGCAGGCGAGATTTTCCTTGTGTGAACGAGAAATACATAAGGTTGGACCGGGTCCGTAAATCTGCGTCTTTGGATCGCACTTTGTATTCACGAACGAGTGAGCTTTCCGCACACGAGAGTTGGGTTCGGTGAGAGGGAGATCCGTTCCTTAACGGGAAAAATCGAGTGCGTGAAAAAGGGGTCTAACACGGACAAGTCGGGCTGGCTTGGAGTTTGGGCGAACGAGTTAAGTAAGTTGACGGATGAACGTGGGAGAAGCCGAGTACATGCGGCATGACGGACGTACGTGTTCGAGAAAACACGGACGGACTGCTCGGACGCGGGAAAACAGTTGGCGGGAAGTCTTGGACGTTAGGCGTGGCGCGCAGACACGGAGAAGTGGGCTCGCGGACGGTTGACGGGCGGTTCCAGACAGTTGGCAGTTCCTTTAGCGTTAGTGGATGAGCGGTTATAACTCCCTTGGCAGTTGGGGATGTCAACTGCCACGTTCTTTCTCTTTATTTACTCGTAGCCTAGCCAGCAAAACGGACACGAGAGGGAAACGCGAATGAGAGAGCGTTTTGGTTCGGGACTTGTGCTGAGCAGGCGAGACTTTCCTTGTGTGAACGAGAAATACATAAGGTTGGACCGGGTCCGTAAATCTGCGTCTTTGGATCGCACGTTGTTTCCACGAACGAGTGAGTTTTCCGCACACGAGAGTTGGGTTCGGTGAGAGAGAGATCCGTTCCTTAACGAGAAAAATCGAGTGCGTGAAAAAATCGAGGAGCAAGTTCCTCGGTTTTGGATGTGATGAATCGAAGGTACTCATCTATTGATTTTGTACCTTTGATGCTTTTCTTCACTTGATCTCGGAGTTGAAGGATATGACCCCGAGATGCTTTCCCGTACGTGTTGGATAGGGTGAGCCAAGCATCACGGACAGTGGCGGATCTGGCGACTAGGGGCTGAAGACTGACAGAGAGAGAGCCGAGCAATGAGCTGAAGAGGAGACGATCTTGTTGCTTCCATGGGAGAAAATTGGGATTGTCAACAGTAACACCATCGGTGGTGATGGGCGGCTTCGGCATGACAGAATCTTCGAGGATAAAGCACTCGGGGTTGGTGAAGGAGAGACCGGACTTGCACGCTCCACGTGAGGTAATTCGTGGATGTGAGTTTCGTAATAGATGACATGTTGCACGACAGAAGAGTTTTCTGTGGCTCCAACGGGTTGAATGTTGCTGCTGGTTCAGTTGTATGAGTTGTGGCATCAGGTGCGGTGGACATGGCTGGTAGATTTCAGCTAGAGAGAAGAAGAGGATCGATTATTGTCGTTTGACGTGAAGCTCTGATACCATGTACAATGGTGATGTATGCGGCGTAATCACTTGGTTTCTCATTGAGCAATAATATATACAGATACATACAAACGTGATTTGACCTAATGTGTAGAATAGGAAAGTTACAAAACAGGGAAGAAGATATACACTATTCTATAGAGGAAAAGGTTGCTGATTTCAGTGCGAGGCTCTGTCATATCGCCATCGAAGCGGATGCAATGAGGAAGAAGAAGAAGTACGGGGACAAAAGGCTCGTGAGGAAACTGATGGAATCGCTTCCGGGAAAGTTTTTCTATATGAAAACAGCAATGGAGATGAAAGAGATGACGAAACCGATGGAACAGAGACTGAAGCTCCATGAAGTTGTCGGGATCTTGACAGCAGAAGAGGTGGCTATGGATCTGCGGCAGAAAGATGGGTTGAAGAAGAAAGCATCTCAAGCAGAATTTGGATCTATGGTTATGCTGAGAAAGAGAATGGAGAAGATGATGAGATCGATGGAACAAAGTGAAAGGTAGAGACTTTAAGTGGCATGTTCTATATGGTGAATTAGATTAATAATAATGAAATGAGATTTTTCACTTACATTAATAGAAAACCCTTTCACTTTCAACCAATTGGTTTTATAAAAGTTTATACCAAACCAAAAAATATTTTTTGAAACAAATCACTTTTATTAAAAATAAAGGGAGAACGACCTAAAAAATATAAATTCTTAAAAAAAAACTATATAAAATCATGAACTTTGTAATTGTTATATAAAATCATGAATTTTACTAGTTTTGTTGTACTTCCAAACACATCATAAATTCATGATTTTATATGGAAGTTACAAAACTTTTGAAGTTAATAAATATGTGAGAATATGACAATATTTATAAATTCATGATTTTATATAAAAGTCACAAAGTTGATGATTTTATATATAACTTTTTGAAAGAAAAAAATTAGGAAATTATTCCAGAATAAATTAAATTACCGAAAAGTATTTTAGAAATTTTGTAAATTTATTTTGTAATTTTTTTGTAAAATAATAAAAAAAAAATTTAAAATTATTACGATGTATTTCTTATTATTTTGCATTGAATATAGGAATCGAAACAAATATCAACCAAACATTTTTAATCGTAACAATTGGCAATCTCTATCAATATTAGTTTATCAATTAATTAAAATCAATAACATAAAAAAATCGGTAAACACGTTGAAAATAAAATACTTCCAATGGTCCACCCAACGGCATCATTCTCAATTGGAAATAAAAGGAAAAAACGTTAAATAAAGTTGCAGTGAAACGACGGCGTTTTAACATTTAGAGATGTCCGAACGAAAAGACCTATATATATAATATATGTGTGTGTATATATAGAGAAAGGAAAAAAAGTAGGGTTAGGTTTTTTTTTTGTTTGAAATTCAAAATAGAGGAAGAAGAGGAAATGGAGACGCCGAGAGTGGGAGTAGGGGTTTTCGTAGTGAAGGAGAGATCTGTGCTCTTAGGAAGACGTCGTTCTTCCATCGGCAACTCCACCTTCGCTCTTCCCGGCGGCCACCTCGAATTCGGTCTCTCTCTCTCTCTCTCTCTCTCTCCGATCTCTTTCGCTTTCGATTCAACGGTTGATTGCATACAATTAGGGTTTAATCACTGCACTATCGGATGGTTAGTTGTGTTGATTACATCGATTCATGGTGGTCTGGTGATGGCGGAGCAGGAGAGAGCTTCGAGGAATGCGGGGCGAGGGAGGTGAAGGAGGAAACGGGATTGGAATTGGAGAAGGAGAAGATGGAGTTACTCACCGTGACGAACAACGTCTTCCGTGATCCACCAGAGCCTCGTCACTACGTCGTCGTCTTTCTCCGCTCGGCCGTGGCGGATCCGAACCAGTCGCCGGAAAATACGGAGCCGGAGAAGTGTGACGGATGGGATTGGTACCGTTGGGACGATCTCCCCTCTCCTTTGTTTCCGCCGCTCCAGGAAATGGTCAACAATGGATTCGATCCATTTTCCTCAGAATGATTAAATTCGATCATTCTCTGCTGTAATATATTTATTCTGAATCTATATTAAAAGTTTTTTTTTTGGGTATTTTCATTTTTTAATCCTTTTATATTTTTCTTTGGTTATCTCATTGTTTTCATAATTCGTAGGTTTTAACTTAAATAATTTTTTTTGTAGTCTTTTAGAGAATAGAAAATGGATAAAGACACGACAAACTGCAAATTATACAATCAATCACTATTGCATCCAATATGTACGATTTGTATTTGATAGAATCATAATATATATTTTTTTCCAAAAAAAAAAATGAAACTTTGATTAACATCACAACCTAAATTACCAAAAAAAATATATATATTTGGCATCATGGATAAAAGACCTTTTTTTTTTGGGTAATATGAAAATCAAGATTTGGCTTTTCTTGATCATCATGAATCTCCACCTTAAGAATATACATCAAAACACTATATATATGTACATAAAACACTGTAAAAGTATATGTATATATACTTGTGATCTAAAACACGATCGACCACCAAAAACCCTATAATTAACTTTAAAAAAAATCCAAAAATTAAAATTTGTATAAAGAGAGAGAGAGAAAAAAAAATCAGTGATGAACATTGTCAACGAAGGAGTTGTGTCTCTTAGAAGGGCCAGAAGGTGGAATTGGCGCACCTTTTGGGAAGAAATTGAAAATCCGATCTCCCAACTTGAAACCCTTTCCGTATTTTCTCCTTAAACTCATACTCTTCGTCTTCCCGGCGGCCGCCGCTGCCC